GGAAATCTCTGGATTTAAAAGCAATGGGGGTATTTGCTGTAGGCTGTGAAAAAGCCGGTGTCCGTCTGTTGTTAGGGCTGTTGCAAAGTGGTGGAAGTGCAGCGATGGAAGATGATGCCGACTGGGCAGTTATGCACGTGTTGGAGGGAGAGGAGTTGACCTCTGAATTTGGGCCGAAATTCAGCGGTCTGAGTATCCTTTGCGAGCTGTCGCTAGGTAGATTTGTCAATTTAACTTTGCGGCCTTCATCCGGTGGTGTGCTACCGAAACGGTGACCGTACGCAAAAAGCCGTCTGGTGTCGCACTTGTCAAATGTACGCTGAGATAACCTGCCACAGTCAGGTGAAGGAGATGTGCTGCACGCAGTACGATGTCGCTGTAAGGCCTCAGTCTCGTGGTCGCCAGTGCCGACACCCAGGTTACTTGTCCTTGAATTGACTAAGAACAGATTGGCTAGAGACAGACTGCGATCACTTGTTGATGATGGGCTCTGTGCTGTAGGCTGTAAAAGGTACACATAAACGCACATAAAATTAATCACATTAACTGCAGTGTCAACTGACAGAAATAAAGCCTGGTTAGTCGACGCTTCTCATTGGTGAGAAAGCGTGAGCTACAATAGGTTATATTTTACGCAATATGATTGGCTTATCACAAATGACTGCCGAGGGGCTTAAGTGGGCTCAAAATTGGGTTTTTGGTGTCTATAAGGGAGTACGAATAGAACTAAATTAGATGGCTTGGTTCGTGAAACATATGACCGAAACCTAGATGACTAATCCAGCTTAATTCGAAGCCTGCTCGCTCTCCTTGTATGCGGGGCCTTTTCTATAAACAGCCATTTCTCATGCATATTTTTAAGATGCTGGCAGACATCGGTTCTTAAAATTTAAGATATATGTCTTTGTTAATAACCACCCTACACACTGTCAGCACAAGTGGACATAATTTTCGAATGGGTTGCATAAATTTAAACGAACAAAGGTTTTCCAAAACAAGGGCTGTCAACCTCGACGTTCGTATGATACCCCGGATAAACATGGCGAGGATTGATGGAGACAGATAGTAACTTAAGGAAATAAAAAAATGCCAATAGATTGGGTCTGACAGAAAACTATTTGTGACTTTGTATGAAAGTTCCCTTTTAACTACCAAACATTTAATTTCACCGACGTACCCTGACGGACTTAAGTTACTATAAAAGGCTGCCGATACGTAAGCAAACATATTTGTTCATACCATTTGACTTTTATATGTTCTCCTGGGTAGCTTTGCAGATCATAAGCAATCAGAAGACACTCCAATACTTAAAGCACTTCGTAATTAATATAAAGAAACTGATTCTTAGTCTGCGAGACAGACACTCTATTTAAATACCAAGAAGGTATTTTTAGGATTTTGACTGTTAGTTACCTTATAGGCATTTATTTCCCTTCTTATGTTTATGCCGGTTTAGTTGCGAACTCGAGTCCAATATACCTCACCATAGTTGCAGAAATCCAAACTATAAACATATGAAAATAATTAAAGAAATACCCCTTACAATGTTTAAAAAAACTGAAACGGCATGTAGTTGATTTGCTAATAAATCGCATTAAAACTAAGTATCTATTAACGTTTTCCTCAAAAATAATCCAAAGGTTTCCTAAAATTTTCTGTAATTATGCCGCTTAATTGAATACTTTATGTTACATTTACAGAACAGTTTTAATCTTCTGACGCATTTTTTGCGACTGCGACACTACCGCTTTCCTTAAAACTTGTAAGTTTTTACTAATGTAACTTTCGTTTAGATACCTCTTGGTACATTTAACTCAAAACCATTTATTAGCAGTTGGCACAGTCTTTTCGTGAATTTAGTTGCGACTTGATACGTAGCTCCCTTCTTTAATTTTGATGTATAAGTCGACTAGATTAGTAACGTGGCTCTTTCAGGGAAAATATTTCTTTTCCTTTGGTCAGTTAAGAAAACGCGACTTATTTAGTATTTGCTTGCGTATGTATTTTTAATTTGATTTCATGTCAGATGTTCATTTATAGACGTCTTGACTAGGTAATCTAATGGAGCCTCTTTAAATAGTATTTTTCTTCTACAAAGCTTCGAGTATGGTATTTTTTGCATAAAGGCAATATTTATATCCAGAAAATTGGAGGAAAGTTTTGAACGTGATTGTTTGGCTTTATTAAAATGATAAATAAAACATCATGTGAATACTTCATTTGATTTAAATTTTTCCACAAACCACGTGGGGAAGAATTTAGAAATCGTACAATTAAGTTTATTGACAGCAAAACTATTAATCATTTTAATTATGGTGATGAAGCCGCTGAAAAATCTTAACGGCCCATTTTAAAAACCTGTTGGTTGTGTATTGCAGGTAAGCATAACCTGATTGAGGCTATAGCGCTTTTTCTGAGATAAAATTTGATCATCACCATTTAAACCACAACTTTTAATCTAAAATCTGATAACAGGGACTTCGATACAGTGCGCAACCTATATACTGGCTCCTAATGGACTACATAACAGGCAACTAGCCGCTGAAAAGCCACCATCGAATTACTGTTTTTTTTCACGCCTGTCAGGAACATTATTCCTTATGTTCGAAGTCGGCAAAAAAAGTACTTTGAATATTTTTAAAATTACTCTAGACAGCCGAAAGTTCCAACTTGAGTTTTCTACTAGCAATGAAATCGATTTGAGCGCTGCAAGTGGGAGCGAAATTGGAAGCTGGATTTTGACACATATGACCGGCGTTTTCTAAATTTGTTCGTTTATTACAAATATCAACTTCTTTTTTCAATTAGTAGTTGTTCCTCAAAAATAAGCAAATGTTCCTGAGGGGCCATAGAGTTATCCAACCTAAAGTATACCCCCAAGTAGTACGTAGGTCATTTATGCGCAGTGAACGGCTTATAATTTGGCCATTTGGTTCATGGTATCGTGGTAAATAAGCATCGAAACTTGCAAAAATTCATATCTCACGCCTTTGGATATAAGCCACTAATACACTTGCTTGCATTTTATTCTGCTCAAAGAACTGTCTACTAACCAACATCATTCTGCCATCCCATATTCTGTTTGCATAATATATCATACTTAATCACACAGTTTGTGTGATATAATACTTAACGTAATGTTTAAATTATAATAGATAATAGCCTCTCTGGCAAGAGTAAAGACCTTTTTTTAAAAAAA